ACAGTTGGGGAAGCATTTGGCCTGAGTTGAAGGCCATGTGGGGGAGGGTTGTGTGTGTGTGTGTGTGTGTGTGTGTGTGTGCGTGTGTGTGTGATGGGGGATGCTGCTTCAGGAGAAATGGTGTGAAGATCAACAGGTAAAAACAACTCGACCTCATTTCACAGACTTAATGACTCTGATGTTTGAATGAGATCTCTTTATTAGGAACAGCTCCATCAGTTTTTCTTTTACGTTTGTTTACAGATTTCCACTTCATTTTTATTCATTTCAGCACTAAACATATGGACTAGTATCTCTTGAACTTTGCATCTCTCTCCAAGTATTGAAATTGTATAAGTGGAAAATGTTGCAGACTAAGCTAGAAGACCTCAAAGACCTGTTGACTGTGAGTGTTTCCACATTCACAAAACTATACTATAGCTCAAACAGCATAATGTTGTTTTACTGAATTTCACATGTGTTTTACAAATCCAGCAATGAATCAACTGACAACACAGTGTCTTTTTCATCAATCCCTTTACATTTAAAGCACCAAATGGATAATTAAGCATCCTTATCCATCTAGATTCTGATTTTGAACTGTGCCCCAAAAATCATGCTGAGTGGCCCATCTCCTCACTCAAGTTGAGGATATAGGATCCACAATTTCCCAAAATACAGTCATTTTTTAAATTAGCACAGTTTTCTACTTCACCTCTAAAATGGACTCAGGTTCAGGGAAGTCTCTGGTGTTTCTGGATCATGGTTATAACTGGTTTCCTTTCTGCATGGTTCATTTTTAACATTCAGTTGTGTGATGAACTCTATTCACAGACAATGTCTTATTATTTTTTTGGAATTGATTTTTGAGTGCTGCGATTTCAACTACAGAGTCCTGTCTCTTTTTAATGCAGTGCTGCCTTAGAGCCTGATGATCAGAGGCATCTAGTCTTGGTTTTGGACCCTGTCTTTTTTAGTACAGAGGTTTCTCCAGATTCTCTGAATATTTTAATGAGATTTTCTTCTGCAGATGATGAAATCCACTCATTCTTTGACATTTTACACTCAGTAACTTTATTTTGAAACTGTTGAACTATTGAACTATTGCTCTCACAGTCTGTCACAGAGTGGTGAACCCCTTCTCATTTTTCCTCCTGAAAGTCTAAGCCCCTCTGATTGTTCTTTTTATATGTAGTCATGTTAGTAACCCCTAAATTGGTGTTCCTCAGTTGTTGTTTTTTTTATTTTTTATTTTTTGAAGTATTACACAGCTTTTTATGAGCTCTGTTGTTCCCCTAACATTTTTTTAGAAACATGTTGTTGGAATAAAGTCAAAATAAGATTTTTTTTATACCTTCAAAACATTATTCAGTTGTAACAATCACTGTGTTATCTTTGCACTATTTCCAGTTTAATAAAGGCTTCCTTGGCTTTTCAATTCTATTCAATCAGAGTAACATGTTGACATGAATTTGAGAGGTTGTTTCCCTTTTTATTTTAACTTTCAGGGTCTCTAAGTTTGGCAGTGGTGTCCGGTCTCTTTTGTTCCATCAGATTTTTGTTTGTTTGTTTTTTGTTTGTTTGTTTTTTTTTCATTGTTTTTGACAAATTTGGGTTTTTTATTTTTCTTAATCTTGGTATTTCATTTTCACATGTTTTAGTCTCCTAGTTTGAATCCCTGGGAAGGAAAATTTTTCCCTGGGAGGGAAAATGCACACATGTCCATTTTTTATTTATTTTTTTTACTGTCACTAAGTTTTTATTAGTCTGTGGAATCTTCAGCAGATTTTAAAAACACAACACACAAACACATAAACAATGTAGGTTTTAAAAAAACAAAGGTGCAGGACCTCAGGGAAAGTGAGCAAGACCTGGAGCTTTCAAATGGTCACTAGAAGACCATTTGGAAGAGCAGGACCAGTTGCGTACACACACACACACACATACACACACACACAAACACACACACACACACACACACACACACACACACACACACACACACACACACACACACACACACACACACACACACACACACACACACACACACACACACACACACACACACACACACACACACACACACACACACACACACACACACATCAAGTAAAACAAACAGTTTATAAAAGCCATTTGGCCCATCAGCATACAACTGTGGAAGTGATCCGTAAACAAAGACAGTAGTAATGTGTGTGTGTGTGTGTGTGTGTGTGTGTGTGTGTGTGTGTGTGTGTTTAAGACCATTTGCTCCTCTGTAGCTTCAAACACCTCTGAAATCATCCAGTTTAGCTGTGATTTACTTTTTTACATGAAAACAAATGCTCTCTGCTGCTGTTCGTTTTTATGTTGTGCATATAAATTACCTTCCTCTCTTTTTTGTCCTTCCATCCACAAACACACACAGTCAGTGTTTTAAATCATACTGTATCAGAGAGCTTTAACTGCAGGGCTTCACACAGTGAGAACAAACAGGCAAACTGACCGTGAGCTCTGCATATGCACAAACACGAACACACAGACGCTGTTTGTTGTTCTGTCACTGAATTTATGGAGCAAAATGTTTATATCCTGAAACAACAAGAGGATCAAAGTGAGCTCAATTTCAGACGATCCAAAAAGACTTTCCAGCCAATCAGACTTTCAACATTTTTTTTTTAAATGTTCAGGCCTGGTCTCCACGTGTAAAAAGGCCTAATTACTGTAATCTCACTAAAATGATGCACAACCATGTAACATATGTCTGTGTTTCAGGACAATCTGAAGAACCAGGATATATGCTTCATAAGGATGTCAGATCAAAACCTATAACAGTTACTGCACAATAATCACTGGAGAAAAAATAAGTGTTTTTTTTGTTTTGTTGTTGTTTTAAACATTTGTGCCCAAATGATGTCAACTTTTATGCACACAACGATGTTCAATGAGCGGCACAGTGGTGTAGTGGTTAGCACTGTCCACTCCCTGTGACTGTGTGGGTTTACTCTGGGTACTCCGGTTTCTTCCCACATCCCAAAAACATGCAGAAGTGGGGTTAGGTGAAATGGTCACTTTCAAAAAGCCCGTAGGTGTGAATGTGAGTGTAAATGGTTGTTCGTCTCTATATGTCAGCCCTGTGATGAACTGGCGACTTGTCCAGGGTGTCCACTCCCTTCGCCCCAAGATGCTGGGATAGGCTCCAGCCCTCCCACAACCCCCCATCAGGATAATTGGTAGAAAATGGATGGATGGATGATGTTAAGTGAGACTCATTTTTAAATTCCTCCTTTATTTGTGTTTGTTTTAAAAAAAGCATGTTGCATGCATCAAATTTAAAATGAGTGAATATTTGCCAAAAAAACAAGTTTATCAGTGTGAACCTCAGGTATCTTGTCTTTAAAGAGTATTCAATTGAATATAGGAGGAAAAAGAATTTGCAAATCATTGTGTTGTGTTTTTAAAGGAGATTGTCATAGACTTAAGAGGGCAGCACCTGCTACTTTGTATAATAGGGGGGGCCGTGGAGAGGGTCTCCAGTTTGAAGTTTCCTGGGAACCCACATCAGTGAGGACTTCAAGTGGACTGTGAACTCCACTGTTTCACTAAAGAAGGCTCAACAAGACGCTGAGGAAGACGAACCTCTTAGTAAAATTACTGGAGTCCTTTAACCACTGTGCAGTAGAGAGTGTACTCCAGATGTACTCCAACACAGCCTCTTTACCACCCCTCATATTTTATTTAATGTCCATTTATGCTTTAATAAATGTGTTACTGTTCACTGGAAAAACTATAGATGACATATTTTGTTTGTATATCAAATTTAAAATGACAATAAAGGCTTTCTGTTTCTGTGATGAGTCCCAATGCTGCTTCACACGTTTTCAAAGTGGACTGTGTGTGAGATCCAGATCCATTTTCCCAGACGACAAAACAAAACAAAATTTCAGATGGAAGTCAAGGTGAACCAGTGTGTGAACAGATCAGGTAAAAAGGAAACTGCAGACATCGGTGATGTGTCTGTTTTCCCTGTTACTTGCATTGTTATGCATTAAGTCCATTTGTATCTTTTAGTGTAGCATGTCTTCAGGTTGTTATTGCACCAGCAATGCAAGAGTGATTTTTAAAATATGAAGCAATGCGGAGAATTAAATCAAGGCTTTTTCCACCTGCAGGTAGCTGTTGATGTTTCTGCTTTTCAGACTTTTAAGAGGCGTCTTGAACAAAAGAAAACCATGAAAATGCTCCAAAACGATGTGAGTAGGAGGAGGGAAGCGTTCCAAACAACATTAACATGTTTACAGGGTATAAATTCCAGAAATCGTAAAAAAGTTTTTTTGCAGAGCATTAGTCTATTTTCCCTGCATAAAAACCAGTCCTGACCCTAAAAGGCCTCTGGCTCAACTTCAACCAGCAGCCCTGACCCTGAAAGACAGCAGAGCCTGATGGATCTGCTCAGTGTCAAACAGCACTAGACTCCTGCTTCACTGCAGACCCGTCTTTGAATATGCTCACAGCTTTTTTTATTCACAAACGTTGGAGTTGCACAATCTTTGAACACCAAATTCATCAAGTTTTAATATTTTTTAAGCAAAGTTCTGGTTACTCTCCATTTTTACTGGAGATGTTTCCAGTTATTTTCTGTTGAATTGGCTGCAGCTCCTCAAAAACTTTAATTAGGCTGTAAGATTTCTTTCCTGAGTTGTAAGTCAAAGCAGCAGTTTAGAGGATCTGTTGCTGCTTTTCTATCTTCATCAAAAAGCCTCACATTGTAAAGTTTGGCTCAAAATCAAAGCTTTATGCAGTCACACCTGGGAGTTTATCTGGCCAAGTCTATAACTGAAATGATTCTGGATCACTGAGACTGTGCAGATCAACTTAAACTCCAATCAAAAGACAAAAAAGTGTCTCATTTTGAAGACCCTTTGTGAGACACATCTCCTTCTTGTCAAATCAGGTTTCTCTCTCTTTTGTTCCCTCGAGGCTAACAGCTTAAACCCCTCTGAGTTTGTAGTCTAAAAAAGACAGTAAAGATAATCAGCATGGACTACATGGTCAAAGCCCTGCTTTACACTCTGGTGGACTGTATTCACAACTCTTCACTCCAGCTTCATGTGACTGATGCTCAGGCCTGGAGTGGGTCATCAGGAGAGCTGCTATCAAGCAGGGGCATGTCCAGATCTCACATTCTAGGGTGGCATGAAGTTTGTGAGTCCACGCAGTTTGACTTAAAGGTGGGGTAGGCAGGATTTCTGTTTGGTTTCTACTGTCCAATATTGTAGCACGCTAACTTTTTTTGGGCTCGTGAATGTTATCCGAGGACGTGGAACGTGCCTCACAACACGAGGGAGCAGCGTCTGCCTTACAACCAATCAAGTTGGGGGAGGCGGAGCATGGCTTTGTTTACAGTCAAAAAGAGCAGGCTGCTCAAAATATGTTAAATGTTGATTACACAGACATGGAAATGGACGGGACGGAAAGCCCCTCAAAAAGAGGACATGTCCAGGTAAAAAAGGACGTATGGTCACCCTAGTCAAAGTGGAAACTTGGTTTCGATAAAATACACTGCTGAAAACAAGGTTGCAGAAAATAGTGCACCAGCTCAGACCTGTATATAGTGAGGTTGAATTATATATCTTTAGTAAAGGCTTTGGACTGAAGTTGGCTGGTCTAAGCTAGGCTGAAAAGGAGTCCCACTTCAGTCCTGCTGATGTGTGTTTAGTGGCGTAAACAGGTTGCATACACTGATGCAGTTCTGCATTAGTTGTGGACAAAGTTGATCATCCAGAGATTTGTAAATGGATAAATAAAAAGTGAATACAGAAACTTTATAATAGAATTCAAAAGGATTTGGCAAAGTCTTTTTCCCTGTCAGAAGAAAAGGAGGCAGAAAATTGGGTCTGTATGGGTAAAAACTAAGCTCTCTTAGATGAAGTCTGACATCTACAAATCACTGAGTCAGCGGCTCAGATCTGTCACGCTGCTCTGCTGATTTAAGACAAAACAAAACAACCACTTACTGAGCAGTTCATGATTAAAGGGTTAATCCTAATCCTTGAAGTTCCTAAATCTGTCATAGTGATCCTGTTGAAGCTGCTGACTCAGATGCTGAGTGTTTAGATTCAGGGTTAAGCACCTGTGGCCAGCAGCAGTATGAAATCAGATACAAGACTCTGCAGGTTTGAAGAGTCTGCCTTTGAAGAAAAAGTTAGATAAAACAAGATATTGGGATCATTTCTTTCCAAGACTGACTCCCAATCATTTTCAAATTATTACACCTGATTTATACTTGGACAGGAAATAGATCATAAAAGCGTGTGTATGATGGACATAATTGGCCTATTTATTCCCAGCCTGTTAGCTTGCTGCCTGATGACTGATTGTCTTGAGCTTGATTTTGTGCATACATGTTTGTGTTGCATAATTTACGTAAAAGTAAATTTTGATCAACACGTGGTAGCCAACTTAACCCTATCACACTGTAAATATATATATATATATATATATACAACCTTTTGTGCAATGTACATTATCTACAATGTATTATGCATAGCTCACTGTAAAACATGAATTATGTTTCACACAATATTCACTATCAGTCATACACTAAACAGTTTGAACCTACTTCATACACTAGCTCTGTAAGTTATGTGTCAATATATTTCACATCTTGTGCATTACACATTGACTGAGTGACCTCACCTCTGCTTGTGGCCAGCTTTGGTCACAAGCACATCAGCTTTTTGATGTGCATGACTTCAGTACCTCACAGAGGACACAGCTCACCGCTCCTGCACAACATAAAAAACATCTTTGGGAGCTGCAGATGATTTTTAATTTGTGCATCGAAATCATGGCTCTGCGGGGTGTCTGTTGATTTAGGGTGATTTGAGGAGTGAGATGGGGACGGTCTCTTTTATTTACTGAGGTTTAATTATGAACCTGTTTCCTTTGGTTTTCCTGGTTTCACTTTTTGTTCTTGTTTTGCTGATAGCGCTGACTTTCTCACTTTTACTCTCTCATATTGCAAACCTTTTGTTAATATTCAGATGTCTTCGTTTAAGCTCTCAAATATTTCTCCCTCTTTCACTAATATTTCTGATGGGCTGAATCTCATTTTGCACCTGCTGCCAGTCTGCTTCCTATCCAAACTCTTGTTAGACAAAACCAGTCTAAAACCTTCATTTAAACAGCACCACCTCCTTCACAGTCTTTGCACCTGATGTCATTTATGCAGTTAATGCACACCAAGGAAATATGCAATTTGTTGTGATGAACACATAGGCTCTATTTTCGTATCCCCCCTCCTAACTCAGCTCCTCCCAGCAGCGTAGGTCGTAGCAAGGGAGGAGAGAGGGCGTGGAGTGGGTTTAACACAGCTGAGACCTGTATTGACCAATAACATCAGCTTCTCTCCTCGCCTTTAAATCCACCACCAGCGAAGTGTATTACAATTTTCGTGAAGTAGTCAAAGAGATCAAGAGATGGCAGCTCCTCAACAAGTGTCACTGTAAATGCTGCAGAGGGCGTCCTCCACACTGTCTCATATGATCACAGATGGATTTGGTGTGTGTAATGTTGGACCCACTAGTAAGACAAACACCCTTTCCACAAATAAAGACACTCACATAAAGTTGCACATATTCAAACCTCACGTGACAAAGGTGGGTTGTGCGCACAGATCACAACATAAACTCCAAAAATGGCATTAAAATCGGAACCATCTGTGCGTAATGACTCATCGTGCTCCATGGCCTGGTTCTTTCTTTCATAGATGTTGGCATATAAAATAAATTTGGCTCACAAAACTGAATATTATAATATTTGTATGTAGGCTTAAAGTAAAAAACCCATCTGATCACTGAAATAAATCATCTGTTCAGCAGCTGCAGCAGGACGGGGAAAGGACACGGAGACATGTCCAAGTCCCGCTGCGCGAGAAATAAGAGGAAGAAAGAAAAGGAGGGAGATGAATTAAATATCTTGTTAATTTCATTATGTGTGTCTATTTACTAGATATCTAATTTCATTTAATGCGGTTTCAGCTGTGTTGATTCGGTCAGGTTGTGTGTCCAAATGCGTGCCAAATATGCTCATCAGATCAGATAAAGATCAGAATATATCTATTTAGATCTAAATGTATGTTTCGACTCAGATTATTGATTATTTATTGCACTGAAATGTGCCTGACACTGTGGAAACCTGCCGGTGAGGCGTCGGTGATGTATGCCGATACGCCGCCGGTCTACCAAACTACCTCTAGACCAGCTGCGCTCCACCTTCCCTGAAAGCTGACCAGGTTTGAATCGGCGAGCTTTCAGTGCACTTAATACGCCACCGGCGAGCACGAAAATGTCACCGCGCCAGCTGATTCTGTCGACGACTCCCCCTGCCGTGCCACCACACCCAGCTTGGCAGACCTCGGTGTGCCTCAGTCCATGAAAATACCAAACTGGCTGTACGCCGGGCTCCCCCAGACAAAAATACCACTGTGCGAGGTCCGCCACCCTCCACCGCCTCACCGGCGGACACGAAAATAGAGCCCAGAGTTTCACTTTCTTTTTTGAGGCTGAGAGAAGCTCATGTAAGGACTCCAATACAGAGATGTTTATGAACATTTTAACCCAGTTTGTGGAATAGCTTTTGATAAGCATTACTTTTGGAACAGATTATGGGGCTAATATGATTCTATGGTCAATAAATTTTGGTTTGAGTTGACTGGTTCCTCATAATTCAATAGCAGAACAACAAGCCTTAAACTTGTTGGTTAAATTTGATTCTGTGAGCAGAACAGCAGCCACTTTCCTCATATATATAAAAAAATGAAACTCTGCACTACACAGACAGATGGAGAGAGACTTCAGTCTTTGTTATTGTGTTTTGACTCTGTTAGCTATTCAGTAAATACTGTATGTCTCAAACTGCCTCATTAACAATAAAAGATAACAGGTGAATAGAGAAGTGGTGGTGTTAGCTGGTGGTTTATGTGTCATCATTACAGTTGATTATTTGAATGTTAAAACGACAGACCTGCTGAAATACTGTTAATGAAGTAGACCCTGCAGACTCTTGGAGCTTGATTTCAGATAAATATCCCTGTTCTGACTCTCCAGCAAACACACTTGTCTGTGTTTGGTGTTGAGGAGCCTGTGAGGGATGCCTTCTTTGTAGCAGGTCCAGTGTGGGGGTGGGACCACGGGGAGCCTCCCACACATGTCGTTCAGGTGAAGCTCACTCCTGGAGTGTGAGAGGAAGCCGGGGAGTGTTGCTGAGTGCTTTATGTATGCGTTTATATGTGAAAATTTGTAACTCACACACACACTCGGACACACACAGACACATTCAGGTTGTGCGGTTGTGAGCCTGCAGAGCTCTGGCAGACTTTGATGTTAATTTGGTTGATGATTTCTGAGCTCCTCTTCACTTGTACAAATCAAAGCCCAGATCTTTATTACTGATTCATATCTCCACGCTATTTCATATTCTGCTTTTTGAAGACCCTTAAAAGCACATCAGCCTGCCACAGGCAGTCTGTGTTAAAGTATAGCTGTTCATATATATATATATATATATCAGTGGCGGCTGCTGGTCTTTCAAGGAGGGGAAGCTCATTTTTCTGGCCTACATCATAATTGTGTTTGTTTATTTGTATGTAACAGAACAGAGTCGCCAAACACAACGGCAGTCGTTTTTAACAAAGACAAAAGTCGCTGAGGATCGGTAAAGTCTCCGGAGCAGTTAAGAACAACGGAATGAATAACTTGGAAAATGCTCTGGTAGATGTTTTATTCTTCAAGATCGCTGATTCGCTTGTTTAGCTGTCAATCAAAAAAGGATTTCGCCTCAGACAGCTCATCCAATCATGGATGCAGAAGCTCGGAGTCCGGGAGAAAGTCGGGACCGCCCTCTCGCCATAGAACTCCAGAGACGCCGAGCGTCCAATGGGCGGGACAAAGCCCAGCATTTATCCAATGAGCGTCTAGTTTCACTGCTGGAACAACCGACTTTGAGCTTCCACATTGAAGTCAGCAGAAGCAGGGCGTCCGGCTGTTTAAAGAGCTGAGGCGCTGCGAGGATGAATGAGAACGAAGTTGTGCAGAATCAGCTTCTTATCACAACGTGATAAGAAGCTGATTCTGAACAAAAGATGAAGGCTTTCTAGCGCGTATTTAGTTAATGAAATGTACACACAGCAGTACGTATTTCACTACTTTTTCTTTTTTTGGGGGGATGA